CAATATATAAAGAGAACGTGACTATTCACCTCATTGTATGTTTGTATGTTGTAATTTTTGACTGATAATATATAAAATTTGAAGATGTATGATAGAAATTTTGAAATATATTTCTTTTTTTCTCATTTTTTAAAACGCTTTTTAAAGATGTAACACTGAAAATTTTTTTCGGCTAAAAGATATTTAACGATACAAAGAAGGGCAAAAATAATTTTTAGCTAAAGATACTATTGTAAGTTATTTATTTATTTTATTTACTATTGCATAGTAACAAACGAAACTTAAGTTACGAAATGAGAAAATTTTAACATATCTCTTAGAAAAATATATTTTTCATTTTGTGAGGTATTCAGCGTTCCATTGATGTATAATAGATACATAAGTTTTATGGAAATACTTTTGAGAAACGAACTTTTGAGAAGAATATATTGACATGGTCTGTGAACCACTGATCGAACGTATCGGACACGAAGGGCAAAGCCAGTCGAGATATCGATGGCCAGTATTCATTTATAAAACTTAAAACAATATCAACTGAAAGTAAAAAATGATGTACACTTAATATATTTTAGTAAAAAACAAATTAATAATAATAAATAACGAATCGATCTAATGTAAATACAATTATAATATGTTACATAAATATATATTTTTGTTTTAAAAGAATAATTAATAATTTTTGTTTTAAATAGGCAAACAATTAAAAATCTTGATACATAAATTTTAAAATAAATGATAATAAAATATGATTTCAATTTGTAAAGTGATAAACTTTTATCACTGCTTTTTTAAGTCAATTGTTTAATTTCCCAATTATATCGATATTTTAATTTAACATGTACTAGCATTTTACGATATTTTTAATTGTAAATATTAATAAATTGTTGATTTTTAATTGATTATTCTAGACAAACTTTAATTAAAAATCTTTTACATTTAGACAGTAATTTATAAGACATAAGTCTTTACATATTATGTATTTATTCAGATAATTTAATATATATTGGAAAAGTAGTAAAAAACTAAGTTATATCTAAATTAGTTAAATACTTACTAAACGCTTTGTTCTCTTCGAAAATACTCGTGGCATAAATTTTAAAGTCTCCAAATGACGGACTAATTCGAAAATGTTCCACAATCCATGTATCGTTTACTACATGTCCTGTTAAATTACATGTTGTTTTGGCATCCTTCAGAGTTAAATTTGCATGACCTATTACGTAAATTACAACAATAATACATA